TACTCTGTTCTGTACTTATATAAGTGAGTACTTATAGTATTTAAAATTAAAACTTGCAGGCAGGAGCTCACAAGAAACAGCAGTTTCAGAAACCTTTGGAGAAAGCACATGAATTTCTACGTTTTTCACAGGTGCAGTACAACGCAGGGGCGCTCAGTGACAGTAGGTGATAGAGTTTGGATGGGAAGTGTAGATGTAGGTGATATAAACATACCAATTACTGATTTATTTATTTTTAAGAGATGTACATGATGCTTGTAACAGTTGTGTACAATTATATTTACTTAATTCTAGTAGCAATGGTGATGAGTTGACACCATCACCAATATTTTATGTACCCCAAACTTAGGTTAATGCAGAGATAACCTTAAAATCTATGTAAATGGTTATAGATGTTTGTGTTGCGGCAAATAAACACATTGCCTTGTATTTTTATAGTTTGTATATCACTATGCCTTTAAACAAAAGTATAGGCATGGTGAAAGTAAGTTCATACCCACAGAAAATATAGTTTTAATTGTGTTACTATTATGATTGTCAGCCTGGTTTATAAAAATAATTATTTTCCATGTTAGCAGACTGGGACACAATTGCTAATAAATTATATTTAAAACATATCTTAGCCTAAAAACTAGGGATGCACCCACACCGTTACTAATATTGGTATCGGTGCTGATACTCAGTATTTGGGCGAGTGCTGGTACTCGGCCAAAAGCTCCGATACTTACCCGCAGAGATCTCCTTCTGTCCTGCAGTGCCACGAGTGAGCATGGAGCCGGCTTACCGGTCATTCAGGAAGACAGGCGGTGGATTATGACCCGTTTCCTAATTGACTAGGAAGCTAGCTTCAATTGTTGCTAAGCAGCCTGGCTTCCAAATAATCTGGGCCCATGGATGCCTATATTCGGTATCGGCGAGTACTGAAAAAAAAAAATCCATACTCGATACCGAAAAACTGGTATTGGTGCATCCCTACTAAAAATAAAACGTGAGTTTACCAGTCCTTGTATGTGGTGACTGCATTAGTTTTCAGTTTAAGATTATATTGAGCAAGTACAGAAAATACCTGTTGATCTTGCCAGAAATGCAGTGTCCTTGTCACTTCCTGTACACAAACAATGAAACGTATCTTTCTTGCATAAAGTATTAGTCCCATCAATTCATCATACAAAAACGATGAACAAAGATAGACATGATTGAAGTCCAGCCTGGGTGATGAGCATGGCTGTACCCATAGATACAATAAAAAAATAAGTATAGCCACTAAGGGACAGGAAATGTTATTGTTAATGTTATTCGCAGTATTACCAGGTGAAAAGAAAAGAAGCCTAAAAAAAAAAGAAAACTAATGCAGTCACCACATCCAAGGACTTGTAATGTGCAATTTATTATTTTTAAATTTTGGGGTTTAGACACACTTGAAAGATCAACTCTGCCTCTAGAAAGTACAGAAACGACTTTGTTTGGACTAAGGTTCCTCTTTAATTCACCCATAGAATAGGTTATATAACATCGATGTGTGAAGTTTTGTACATTGTCATTAACTTTCTTTGTATATGTTTCTGTTTTGCAGATACCAGATAATCCTCCAGAGTATAAGAAGTACTACAGACAAATGAACAAGGTGATGTGTATTCCCTGTGGAGCTTATATCTATGGACAGTACTGTAAAATTATCTTCAGACCAGCTTTGCCTCCAATAATGCTGCCATAACATTCCTTGAATTAAAGGAGAATTATGTGGATGACATACACTCATCCCCATAATTAGCGCCAACATGTGATACTGAAGCTGTCACACGTCGGCTCTATAGTTCAAAAACTCAGCGATTAAATACTGCTGATCGCTCAGTTCCCAATCTTCTCCCTGCATAGAGCAGTGACTGTTAGTCACTGCTCCCTGCAGGGATTTCCCCCTCCCCTCGCCGTTCCTCCAGCACTGACTGGCACTGAAGTGTGGGCAGGTAGAGCCAACTGTCAATCAGTCAGCGGGGTGGATCTCGACAATATTGTCAGGATCCATTCCGGCTGCAGCACGGCTCTGCGCTGTCAACATATAGCGGGCAATAGCAATATGCAAACATCCTTCCAGCTTCTGATAAGTCTTTGCAGTCTGTCAGTCAGAAGCTGACAGAATTTAATACATATTGCGTTGGAGACAGCTCTAGCCTACAGAATGGAGAAGAGTTATGAGCATGACCAGGAGGTAAGATGTCTGTTATCATGCAGGCAGGCAGGCAGGGGAGAGGGATGGGAGTCGCAGAGGATATATCCCAATTCGTAATCAATGGGAGCTGCCAGACGTATCCCTATTGCATTTGTTACAATGAATTTTCAAAACAAATGAAAAGAAGTAATATTTAGCAGAGAATGCCTCCCATAGAATGGTGCCCAATGTGTAACAATTCAGTCATGTTGTTTTTTTTCACACTCCAAAAGGTAATGGAGTGAGAGCAGATAACTGAATTTACATACAGTACTTTCAGCAGTTAGATAGCGGCTAGAATTCTGTGCATTGTTCTACATGGTAATATCATTCTGTTTCCTGTATCACAGGGAGGATTTCCATTCAGCACGCGTGACTGTGGCTGGATTGTGGCAGACTGCACAGCTGAAGGACTAAAATCAGTCATGCTGCTCCAGGAGAACTGCACCTTTCTATCTGATAACATTCCAAGGGACAGATTAAGGCAGGCTGTGGATGTGGTAAGAAACTATTAGATCAGACATTTCTAAATGTTCTCAGATGGTAAGCCCACATTCATACATAGACAACTTGATTGAACCACTCAGGCTAGGAAACTAGCAATTTATGTTTTGAAGGTGTTAAAGGACACAGAGAATACTGAGAATTGTGTGGGCTACCATTAATGACCTCCTGAAAATGCTAGCTGCCTGGTTGTATCTGGGATAAGTATACAGCAAGTGAAGTTAGAACTCCAGATCTGCAAAAAATGTTATGTAATGAATGTGATTAGTGTAGTTTGCATAGACATCTGATGCATTTTACACCTCTCGTAAGCCTCATGGATTATGAGGGGTGTATGATGCATCGGATGTCTACACAGACTACCCCTAAACACATGCTGAGTAGCTGCTCAAGACCAATAGGAACAGGCCACTGGCTAGTGATTAATGGATTAATATATATTTCTGTCTCCTGAAAAACCCAGTAACATTCACTGAACTAATTATTTCTCAGCTTCTTAGCATGAAAAATTCTGATGGAGGATTTGCTACATATGAAACAAAACGTGGTGGCCGTCTGCTTGAATTGCTGAATCCCTCTGAAGTGTTTGGTAAGTAAGTCATCTAAAAAATAGTATTCTGCATTCCAGCAGTCGTTTTTCAAATATCCCCTTGACCTCTCTGACCACACACAAAGGATAGCATAATATGGATGATTTGGTATCTAATTCTGGCAGACTAGCAACTTGCACTACTGCCTCTACATATGCATTGTTTTGTTAACTCCAGTCTTCCACTACCCAGCTTGTCATATTTTCAGGTTTTGCTTTGTCTTGCACGTCTTATTTGAATGATTGATAAGCAGTGAGGCTGAGCAATTTCAGCTAAGCTCAGAGCTTCCTCTAGTGGGAGATATATACATCTCAATATTTAAAGCTATAATAAAAATATGGAAGAGCTTATTAAACACTGAAGTAATAAGTCAAATATGTGCACACTAGAAACACACTATGCATTTTCTTTGACAAGCATGATGCATTTTCCAAATGTCTAGTTTGATTATGTTGTGTTATTTACTGTATACATTTGCAAATGGCCTTATTGTATGGATGGATATATATATATCTATATATATATATCTCATATACATTTCAGGGGACATCATGATTTATTACATTTATGTGGAGTGCACATCTGCTGTGATGCAAGCTTTGAAGCATTATCAAGCCTGGGATCCTGATTACCGAGCATATGAAGTCAGGTGAGCAATCACATACCTAACTCTGTATAAATAAATGGGAAGTCGAGAGGTGCTGAAATATAAGCAGCTTGATTCAAATACCCTTTGTATTTGCAGTTTTTTTTTTTTTCTCTGTCCTTAATTGTGTTCTGATTTCATAGCCATTTTGAGACATCCATACCAATTTCATAGGCACATAACACAACAACAACAATTTAATTTGATAAAAACTGCAACTCTTGCCACTTAATTTGTGATGTCATATATCCAGTAATTACTTTTTTTCCTTAGTATGTCATACATGTCTGAACCATGAGACAAAAATCCTTAGCTGTAATAATAGAGTCAAAGCATTCAGTGCTTTCTCCTGTAAAGACTGTGATATCAGTACTATAGTTATATTATAGGAGAAACTCAGGAATTGAGTGGGAAATAGCCCCACCCTCCACTCTGCCATTGTATAGTTTAATGTGGTGTATGATGCAAACAAACAGCTTCATGATTACATCAATACTTCTTATTGTGTACCTATTCTGGTTGCTGTATGCTACATTGTCCAAACTGTCTCATCCTGTACACTGAGTTGTACTTGACATACTGCAAGGCTGCCTCACTATCTGCACAAGGTTGCTGTACACAGCATACTCACAACCTCACTCTGTACGCTGTGTTGGACATGACTTACAATGAACTGCTCCACTCCTTACACTGTGCTTTAAATGAAATGCTTTGGGCCTTGGACCTCTACACTTGGTACATTGTGCTGTAAATGACATACACCAGACTGCTCCATTTGTACAATGGGCTGAACATGACATACTCCAGACTGCCTCATTCTGTACAATGCACGGTACATTAGATGCTTCACACACTTTCCATCTATAAAGCCATTGTAATTAGAGGGACCCTCAGCTCCCAGGCCATATAAGGATTGCAAACTAGTAACCTCTCCTGGCACTGTCACTGTATGCGGTTAGGGCTTGAAAGATGACTTTGCAGACAGGTAAGGCTCTAGATGACAATCTTTTTAAAGTTACATACTGCTGTTTCAATGTAATTAGTGTTTTTGTGTTAATAACATGTCAGCATTTTTATAAAACCTTGTTTGAAGATTATCTTACTCCTTTTTTTTTTTTAGAGAGACTCTTCAGCGTGGGCTGGATTATTGTCGCTCAGTACAGAGAGAAGATGGCTCCTGGGAAGGGTGTGTGTTCATATAGCATATCTTATTCATCAAGGAAAAGAAATGACGTTTCTATATTGTTAGTGCTTGTCTGCGTTACTCCTAAACTTGTTCTTTGTCATGTGAGGAAGGGACGAGAGAAAGTGACATGGAAGAAATTGAGTGCATAGTGAAAATATTAGACAAAGTAGATTTCCTTCATGTTTGGTCATGTTTTTAATTCAGGGGCGCGCTGTAGGGTGAGATTTGTCACTGCATTGATCACTGCTGTGTATGCAACTCGTACTTTCCATGGCATTTCTTCTGTCTCTTCCACAGAAATAAGTCAATATAGAAAGGTCAATCTGACTTATATTGTATTTGTTTTGCAGGTCTTGGGGCGTTTGCTTTACATATGGCATTTGGTTTGGACTGGAGGCCTTTGCTTGCATGGGATATAAATATGGGTAAGTACTGATTGGACAACCAAGTCAGATCTTCTCAATTGTTTTTTATTTAAATTGTAAAGTCAGCAAAGTAGACTCCTAATATTACATAGTAAGCAAGTGATACATAGATAAAATAAACACTTTAAATATTACCTTAAAAAGGGTCTAGAGCAGCGGTTGTCAACCTGTGGGTTGCGACCCAAAAGTGGGTCGCAGCTCACTGCTGAGGGGGTCGGAGCATCCACTTCTGCTGCGCTAGGTGAAAGGCTCCTCAGCCTCCTCCTAGCGCAGCAGTGTCAGTCAGCGGGAGGACAGCAGAGGCTGTGAATATAAATGTGCCGCTATACACACTCCGTGGCCGTTGCAGTGACATCTAGTGGCCGGGGAGTGTGTACAGCAGGGCTTTTCTATTCACAGCCGTTGCTGTGCTCCTGCCTCCCATACAATGGGAGCTCTGCAGGAGGCGGGCGTCTAAGCAGTGCTGGGGCTGAGAAGGCTGCATGGAGACAGAGCAGGTAGCAGGGGCTGGGGGGGGCTTGTATTCTTGTGAGTGTGCTTCTATTTTTAGTCCCAAGTCCAGCACCTTACTAATTCTGGAGTCCAGCGCTCCGTTGGGGGTCACCACAACTTGGCAAATGTTACCAAGGGGTCCCGGCCCTAGAAAGGTTGAGAACCACTGGTCTAGAGAAATAAAGAATATATAGAAATTGGGCTACTATGTATCAAATCATTAAATGTACATTAAATTCAACTAACTAGATTATGAACAGAATAAGGAAACTTTAGGGTTTCACAAATGAATAATCACTCGTAGTTCATGCAGATTTACTCTTTTTAGTTAGAAAACAGTTACAGCCCAGTGAAAATGTGTAAACAGTTTTGCCCAACACAGCCAAAAGACACAACATGGGCCTACTAGAAGGGGTGTTAGAATTCTTCTGGTTATGCTGTAATGTAGAGTAAAGCTCAGTTTAGATGGAAGGTAACAAAGTCCTATTCCATGTCATATCTCTTTATTTCTCTGTACCTAACCAGGTGTCCAGAGATCAGAAAGGCGTGTGATTTTCTGTTGTCACATCAGATGGAGGATGGGGGCTGGGGAGAAGATTTTGAGTCCTGCGAGGAGAGGAGATACGTTCAGAGTGCAGACTCTCAAATACACAATACATGTTGGGCTCTGTTGGGGCTGATGGCTGTAAGGTAAGTTTTTGAAATAATGTTTCCTTAGATATGTCGATCAAAATGTATTTCCCACATGTGAAAAAAATGACGCAGTGTAAAAAAATCACTTTTACTTTTTAAACTCACACTGCCATTGCTTGGAAATCAGAAGTGGAAAATCAATATGTTTGGCTTCTCTATTTTATAGATCTTAACCCAAAAAATACCAGTTAATCTTGCCAGACATTCCTTGTCACTTCCTGTGAGCTGCACTAAAAAAAATGTTGTCTTTCCTTCCTTTTGTTAAGCACTAATCCCCTCCCCATCTAAGGTCAAGTTCACAATTAGGCGGCGGTGTTTTTGCACGTTCGTCTGCGTGTGTTCAGCGTGCAGTTATTTGCACATTTAAGCGCGTTGTGCACATTTTTATGCACGTTTGTACGCATGTACATGAACATGTGCGTTTTGATTGGCAGCTGAAGAAACATTTCGGACAATGGACAAACGCGTGTACTAACATGCAAACGATAATACAAAATCACCTGCACTACATACAGCGTACAGACCTTGAGTAAGTGGTCACTATGCTGCCCAGAAGAAGGGACCCTGCGTGGCCCCGAAACATTGGCTGTTTGACGCATGTGACGATTGAATAAAAAGTGCTTTACTTCTTGCACATATCGAGTGCTGGTGACTTCTATTATGTACTAACATGCAAAAACGCACACGAAAATGTTCAACATGCTTTTTGCGGCGTGTTTTCGGGTGTTTCCATTGAGGTCTATGGGGCAAAAACGCGCTGTTAACTCCCCAAAGAAGCTCATGTACTTTCTCTGGCATTTGGCATTTTTCTGCTGGTGTTTTGCTGCTAAGGTGTGAACAGGGGCCATTCAAAATCATGGGATTTCTTGTGTGGTGCGTTTTTAAAAGCAATTTTCCAAATTCTCAAAAATGCCATAGGTGTGAACCAGGCCTAATGGAAATGAAGAGAGGAAGACATGTTTAAAGTCAAGCCTGGGTGACAACTGTAGCTTCTTCCATAGAGTGGAGTAGTTGCCCGGCCCTTAGGGTAGGCTTCGAACTTCAGTACCTTGTACGTCGCTAAAACACGCCATACAGCTTATAAAATCAAAACTCCTAATGTACATGCTTGTTAGCTTGCATGCTAAATGACTCAAAGTATTGCAGGCATTGTATTATCATGTCAGCTGAAGAAAGATCATCAACTGCAGCTTTCCTATTTCTTTTATTTTGGTATTTTTTTGTGATTTATTTTTTGTTAGTCAATATTTGCTTTAATAGATATAGGCTAACTTGTGTTTTGTTCACTTTTCACACTTCTATATTGATATTAAGTGGAAATTCTTCATGACATGGATACAATAAAATTCACATTCCTGTAAAATCACACAGGTTCCCAGATGTCAGTGTTCTGGAGAGAGGCATTAAGCTGCTTCTGGAAAAGCAACTCAGTAATGGAGACTGGCCTCAGGTATGAATACACATATACATGTAGAATACATATCCATGTAGTATTCAGTCCATGACTTCCTGCTTTCTGCAACAGCATTGTCTATCAGTAAATTGTAACTCGAATTCTACATGTTTTAGGGAGGCTGCCATAACCAACCTAAACTATATGTAAACCCAGCTAACAGACCTTTTAGCTAACAGCAAACAGACCTTTTTGGTCTGTTAGCTAAACCAATAAAAGCATTTTGTTATATGTACTGCCAGGTATACGGCATTATCATAAAGCCAGGTATACGGCATTATCATAAAGCCAGGTATACGGCTGTATCGTAAAACCAGGTATACGGCTGTATCGTAAAGCCAGGTATACGGCTGTATCGTAAAGCCAGGTATAAGGCATTATCATAAAGCCAGGTATAAGGCTGTATCGTAAAGCCAGGTATACGGCTGTATCGTAAAGCCAGGCATACGGCTGTATCGTAAAGCCAGGCATACGGCTGTATCGTAAAGCCAGGTATACGGCTGTATCGTAAAGCCAGGCATACGGCTGTATCGTAAAGCCAGATATACGGCTGTATCGTAAAGCCAGATATACGGCTGTATCGTAAAGCCAGGTATACGGCTGTATCGTAAAGCCCGGTATAAGGCTGTATCGTAAAGCCAGGTATAAGGCTGTATCGTAAAGCCAGGTATAAGGCTGTATCGTAAAGCCAGGTATAAGGCTGTATCGTAAAGCCAGGTATAAGGCTGTATCGTAAAGCCAAGTTAAAAGTTGTATCATAAATCCACATTAGGCTGGTCCCTTTTTTAAGCAGGTGCTTAAATTCCAACTCCAGTCAGATCCTTTTTTTTAGCTTTTAATACAGAAGGGAAGGCTTAGAACTTCTGCCAGGTTTTAAAGCCTGCCATTGTCCCTGCTGAAGGGAATTCTTCTCACTTCCTATTCTGTCCGACACCTGTCACCTGAACAGGAAGTAAGGGGATATCTTCCGAATGAATATAGGCACAACAATACAATTTTGACAGAGATTCTATAGCTCCCTCACTCTCTTTGGAAACATGTTTTTATTAACAGTTGTGTGATGGGGGTTGCCCTGCTCTGTCTGATACTCAGCAAATAGAGGCAAGTATGGACACAGAAAGCAATACAAAGAGAAGGCTCTATACTATACACTACATAGAATGTATTTATATATACATATATATCTATATAGATCTATATAGATCTATATATATATTGGCTGGAGTTGACCTTTAAGATAACCACTTTGCAGCAAAAGGCATTTAGGTGACCAAGGCATTTGGAGCGAGCTCAAAAAAGGGTTTTCACATATATACAGCTGTAAATGTTAAAGTGGAAATCACCTATTTTCATTTGCATTACTTTTTTCCTAATTTTATATATATTTTTATATCTAGGAGAACATATCAGGTGTGTTTAACAAGAGCTGCGCTATAAGCTACACCTCATATCGGAATGTTTTCCCTATATGGACACTGGGACGTTTTTCCCGCCTTCATCCAAACAGCCCTCTGGCTGGCATCCATAAGGCCAGGTATGGCTGATCCTCAATAAATACTGGAACAGGACCAACTACCCCTTACAAAACCTGACTACCTCCCAAGCTCTGCAGTCTACTAAAATGATTAATTTTATAATTTGGTTATTCATTTTTTTAATGAGACTTGACTTCAGTTTGTGCAATATTGAATGGCGAACGCCAGGAAAAACACAAAATGTGTTCATAAAAAGGTAGAGAAAAGCTGTGTGCGCTTTATATTTTTGGGGAAACCAATTGGATATAAAAGTGGTATGTTTCTAGTTGGAAAATAAGCCTTAACTTTGTTTTTTTGTGGGTAAGCCACTACACACATTCCAACTCCTTCTATACCAATATTTAAAAATGTAAATGTGGGTAGATGATTTATAGATTGTAATCTCTACTGTGATGGCTCTCCTGCAGCGCACAACCAGACAAGGAAACAGCAACAAAACATACTGTGTGTGTGTGTATA